ATCTATATATGAATGTTTACTGCAGCTTTTTGCATAAATTCTCCTAATTGGAAACAACTTAAATATTCTTTAACTGGTGAACGGACGAAGGAATAGTATAACCATATGGCGGAATATTACACAGCAATAAAAAAGGAAAGAACTATAGTTATATGCAACAACATGGATGAATCTTCAATACATTATGTTCAGTGAGAGAAACCAAACTCAAAAGACTCTCTGCTAGGGACTGGGGTTGTGGCTCAGTGGTAGAATGCTTGCCTGGCGTGTGTGAGGCACTGGGTTCGATTCTCAGCACCACATATAAACAAATAAATGAATAAAGGTCCATCAATAATGAATAAAAATTAAAAAAAAAAGACTCTCTGCTAGTGCTTAAAATGGCAAATATTATGCTATATTTACTTGATCACAATAAAAACAAAGACTATGTATATATAGAACTCCATTTGAATATCATTCTGGGAAAAGCAAAACAGCAGAAGCAGAGAACAGACCAGTGCTTGCCAGTGGGGAGTATGAAGGTTGACTATGAAGGTTCAGCACAAGTGAGACTGATGAGGGGAAGGTGAGAGGATTCTTCCCTATTTTTTAAATTTTTATTTATTTATTTATTTATTTTTAATTTTTTGGTACTAGGGATTGAACCCATGGGTGCTAAACCTCTGAGTCACATCCCCAGCCCTTTTTAAAAATATTTTATTGAGAGACAGGGTCTCACTGAGTTGCTTAGGGCATTCCTAAGTTGCTGAGCCTGGCTTTGAAGTCATGATCCTCCTGCCTTAGCCTCCCAAACTTCTGGGATTACAGGAATGCGCCACCACACCCAGCTGTTCTATATCTTGATTGTAGCACTGGTTACACAACTCTATGCCTTTGTCCTAATGTAGAGAATTGGTGTGTATGGTATATTTCTAGGACACTCTTCATTTGCACTAGCCACATTTCAAGTGCTCAGTAGTCATATGCAGCTGGAAACTGCCCAACAGACACTACAGATATATCATGATCTGAGAAAAAAGTAAGGTGTGGCTGGGGCTGTTGCTCAGTGGTGGAGCACTTGCCTGATGCTGTGAGGCACTGGGTTCAATCCTCACACCACATAAAAATAAATAAAGCTATTGTGTCCATCTACAACTAAAAAAAAAAAGTTAAAAAAGAAAAAAATAATGTGTTTCCAGCCTAGAGCAGCCACCATCAAGTCAACAGAATGTTTGCACTGAGTAGAACATACTCCTTAAAATGATCAGTCTAAAAGAATTTTCAATCATAATGAAAAGTTGTCAAGAATTCACTCAAGGGAGGCATCTTCTTGCCAATTGGCATCATCTTCAAAGGTGGCCTCGCCCCTTCCCTGTTCTTCTAGAACACTCCCTGAAAAGCCATTCCCTTTTATGTTGCCTCTGGCCTCACTTTCTTCTGCTCTCCTCTCTCTCCCTCCCTCCACATGCCCTGAACACCTCTTCACCCTGGTGAGAGCTTACTTCCCCTTTATGACCCAGTTGCAGTGGGCTTCCTTTCCCCAGATCCCCGCGCCCCTGAGGGCAGGAACCAAGGCTCCCTCACCGCACACTGATATTTCTTCTACTGTTTATTAAGTACCTCTGGGTGCGAGGAGAACCTGGGTGAGTGGGATACAGCCCTGTTTCTAATCATCTCGTGGTCTGCTAGGGCCCCCAGACTTACAGGCACTTTCACACCTATTGCTAAGTGCCAAAGCAGAGTGCTCTGTGGCACAACAGGGGAAGCAGACCTAGCTCTGGGGAAGTCAACTTCCTCTGCATAACCCCTGAGGTAGGCCCTTCTGCTTTCCTTTTTTAAAAAAATCTGAAGAAGTGTACACTCGGTTACACCAGCCAAAGGTGGACAGTTTTATTGAGGGGTACTTAAGTGGAGGAAAGGGAGGTGTCTATCATCTATGAACACAAGAAGAGAGATCACTCTCACTAGAGATTTCTCTCCTAGTGATCACAGAAGTTCTAATATAGAACTATATTATATACTATAGTCCTGGGGGCTGTGTCCCCAGCAGTCTCGTCCCTTGGTGAAAACTCCCTGGTAGGATCCTCCATTGGAAACTCTTTTCTGTGCCACTCCAAAGAGACAATTCTCCCAAAGTAGCAGTACCAGAGAGCCAGGTCCCTGGTCAGCCTGTTCTGTCACTCCCCAGGGAAGCCTGAGTCACAAAAATGTACACAGAAATCAGTAGCTGCAAACCCCAAGAGCCAAGGATGTGGTACTTCCAATGTTCTTCTGAGTTTTTGGTTTTTGTTTTCTTTTAAATGAGGAGAAGCAAGGAGATGAGGCTGCAAAGCTAATTGTGCAGACTTTATTTCTATCTTCTAGGAAAAAAGGGTGTTTCTGAAGAGGGGAGAAAGTAATGTTTCTGGTGGTGAGCCAGAGTACTGCTCCTTCAAGGTCACACACCTTTAATCCCAGAGATTTGGGAGGATCACAAGTTGAAGGTCAACCTCCGCATTTTAGGAGACTCTCAGCAATTTAGCTAGACCCTGTCTCAAAAAAAAAAAGAAATAAAAAGGGCTGGTGATGTAGCTCAGTGGTAAAGCACCCGGGTTCAATCCCCAGTACCAAAAAAATAAAAGAAAATAATAAAGAACACGATCCTGCTCCTCAAAAACACTTCCTCAGGCTGGGCTATAGCATAGTGGAAAAGTGCATACTTAGTATGCCTGGGTTCCTGGGCACCTCAATCCAAAATCATCCCAGAAACCAAATCCAAAATTTTTTACTAATTACAATGATGTGGGTTTAAATACATCCTCTTTTTTTTTAAGCGAGAGAGAGAGAAGAGAGAGATTTTTTTTTAATATTTATTTTTCAGTTTTCAGTGGACACAACATCTTTATTTTATGTGGTGCTGAGGATCGAACCCTGAACCCCACACATGCCAGGCGAGCACGTTACCGCTTGAGCCACATCCCCAGCCCCTCTTTTTTTATTATTATTTATTTAGTTATTTATTTTGGGGGGTACTAGGGATTGAACTCAGGATACACAACCTCTGAGCCACATCCCCAGCCCTATTTTGTATTTTATTTAGAGACAGGGTCTCACTGAGTTGCTTAGCTCCTTGCTTTTTGCTGAGGCTGACTTTGAATGTGGCAATCCTCCTGTCTCAGCCTCCCCAGCCGCTGGGACTACAGGCGTGGACCACCATGCCCGGCTAAAATGCAAATAAATTTGCAGCAAAAGGCATTTGGGTGGGGAGGGGAGGGGGGGGGACTTGAAAAAGGCAGGAGGATGGAAGAACTAGAAAAACTTGCCAGTCTTATTTGAATTCTTATATCAGCTGAATAGACTGTAACTGATATCTAGACATTTTAATGACAAACAAATCGGGTTCCCGGAACAAAATTATTTTCCCTGTCTCTGAATTCTTTCAGTCTACAATACTTACTCAGTGCCTACTATTCCCTCAATCCTCCTCTAGGTGTTGCACTTTTGAATCTTTTGCATTTAGTACATTTTACCTTAAAATATGGTATATAGAAGTTCATGGATTTTAAAAATACCCCACAGGTAACGCTTGCTTTTCCGCCACTGAATGGTGAGCTTCTATCCCACCTCTATGAGGATGAGTCTCATCTGAGAAAAAGAACTTACTGAAAATATTCCAGTCAACTTTGTAGCCCTAATATTTGGGATATAAGAGATGCTTAATAAATGCCTGTACAGCCTGATACAACAGAACATGACTGTAATCCCAGCAATTTGGGAGGCTGAGGCAGGAGGATCACAAATTCAAGGTCAGCCTCAGCAACTTAGCAAAACCCTGTCTGGAAATTTTTTTAAAAAGGGTTAGGGAGCTCATGGTAGAGTGCCCCTGAGTTCAATCACCAGTATTGCCTCCACTAAATAAAAAAATTGTATCATCCCTAAAGAAAAGGGGGACAGTGAAACACCATGTCCCTGAATGCCCACCACCCTGCCTTTCTATTCCCCAAAACCCAACTGAGTTAAGGGAAAATAATCAAAACTCTCAGCAGCAGCTTTGGGCTGGAAAGTCAGGACACATATGACCTTGAAGGACTCTGGCTCTTGTACACACTGGGAACTAAGGAAAGTGTAAGGGATGAGGCAAGTAAGTGTCATCTGTAGAAAGCTACTTCCTTGCATATACTCCGGAGAGTTGCTTCTTGCAATGATGGTCAGAGAAGCAAACTAATGCGATGGTGTCACTGCTTCTCCAGCCCAACATATAAAACCCTCGGCAGAACTGAGGGCACTGTGCAAAAGGATATGTGTCATTCTTGCAGCCGGCTGCCACTGGACAAAACACAGTGAGGAGGAGGAGCCTATGCTTTGCAAAACACCTAAAGGGATGGAGGTGCTGTCTGTCAGCCTGTCACCAGGGCACTCTTTTTTTTTTTTCTTTGGTACCAGAGATTGAATTTAGGGCACTCAAGCACTGAACCACATCCCCAGTCCTTTTTATATTTTATTTAGAGCCAGGGTCTCATTGAGTTGCTTAGAGCCTTGCTAAATTGCTGAGGCTGACATTGAGCTCAATCATCCTGCCTCAGCCTCCCAAGCTGCTGGGATTACAGGCATGCGGCCACCATGACCGGCAGGGGCACTCTTCTTGAAGCAAGACCCTGTCTAGAAATTTAAAAGCTTTCATCTGATAAACCTATGTCTCCCATGCTGTTGCTGGGCACCCTCTTTGGCCCCACTGCCCTGGCACAACTGGGCTGCGGTCAAAACATCAATCAGTTAATAAACATTTGTTGAATGACCAAGAGACTTCCCTGTGTTCACCACTATGAGTTGATAAGACTAATGGGGTTAGGCCTGGCATGGAAAAAACTTGCCCTTGACCTCTATCTGTTATTGCCTCCAGCCTCTTTGGCTTTCCAGAAGCCCAGCCAAAACGTGAGGCACCTCTCTTTGGCAGTGTTTGCTCTGGAGTTTCCCAATGGACTGGCAGAGAGGGTCTGATGTTCTTGCTCAATCCTGCTTCCTCCTCTTTTCTTTCACAGATGTTCCTCCCATTAATACTGCAACAGTGGTCCACTTCACCTTTTGAACATAGCCCCCAGTGCTTATTTTAAAAGAGGTATGTTTTCCTTTTCCTCTTCTTCCTCTCCCCTTCCCTAACCTGGGGGTGGGGGAAAAGATTACCTCCCCTGTCCTGGTGTACACCCCCATGACAGGAAGGAGATGTGAAAATCTAGGAAGTGAGTACATACAATTAGGGAACACCTTGGGAACCCCGTGAAGGCACATCTGGAATGCAGGCTTTGAATAGCTTCTCTAAAAGCCCTGTTTTCCCTAATAGTAGAGCTTCCCCTCTGCATCTCCTTTGCTAGCAAAGCAATAAACCTTCTTTTTCCTTTTTCTCAAAACCATGTCCTCATTATTAAATTGGCATGAAAAGAATGGGCGATAAGGACCCAGCTTTAGGTAACAATACTTATACACTCCTAAATCTATGTCAACTTCTGCTTCCTAAAAAACCCCAACAAGTGACAAGGAACTTTAGTCTTAAACTCATTCAGGGAGACTTAGTATGAAAAGCCCATACAATTGCTTCAAGAACCAAAGCTGATTGACTGCATGAAATGAAGACAACTGTAAATATTTTCTAGGTGCTTTTGCATAAAATTACTTTGATGAAATTTAAGTGAAAAAATGAGTAACAAAATGGATAGAAAAGGAAGTATACCTCATTACGCCTTGATTTAAAAAGGGTCATTCTATTTAAAATTACATTGTGTAATATAATCCGAGGCTATAATGATTAAAAGCAGTATAATACTAGCACATCAAGGAATAGATGAACAGAACAGAATAGCACATCCTGAAGAAGACTCTTGAATATATATAATTCAATATTTGATAAAAAGTGGCTTTTGCAACCTGTAAGGAAAGGTTAGATTATTACATAAACATAGCTGGAAAACTGGGTAGCTACACTAGGAAAGAAAATTAGATCCCCCATATCAAAATACAATTTTGATGGATCAGAAACATTTTTAGTTTAATTAAACATTTTTAATGTTCTAAACATTTTTAAAAGTTATTAAAATATTAAAAGAAAATAAATCCAGGCATGGTGATATGCACCTGTAGTTACAGTTACTGAGAGGCTGAGGCAGAGGATCATGTACCCAGGGGTTCCAGGCCAGCCTGGGCAACATAGCAAAACCCTATCCCAAAAAATAAACAAACAAATAAAATATGATGTTTGTAATCTTGATTTAAGAAAATCTTTTGTAAAGAAGGACATAAATTCTAAAGGCCTTTAAAAAAAAAAGAAAGATTTTACTCTATCAAAAATATTTTTTATAAAGTGAAAGATATTATAAATAAGGTTTAAAGATAAAAATTGGAGTCATATATTGTCAAGTATGTAAAATAGAAAAGATTGGGCTGGGGCTATGGGTCAGTGGCAGAGCACTTGCCTAGCGTATGTGAGGCACTGGGTTCAATCCTTAGCACCACATAAAAATAAACAAATAAAATACCGGCTTTCTGTCCATCTACAACTACAAATTAAAAAAAAAAAGACTTATATTGGGGCTGGGGTTGTGGCTCAGTGGTAGAGTGCTCACCTAATATGTGCGAGGCCCTGGGTTCGATCCTCAGCACCACATAAAAATAAATAAAGGTATCATGTCCAACTACAGCTAAAAAATAAATACTAAAAAAAGATTAATATTGGGGCTGGGATTGTGACTCAGTGGTGGAGCACTCGCCTAGCACGGGAGGGACTCAGTTTCGATCCTCAGCACCACATAAAAATAAAGGCATTGTGTTGTGTCCATCTACACCTAAAAAAATAAATATTTTTTAAAAAGATTAATATTAATAATACATAAAGAACTTCTTGGGCTGGGGATGTGGCTCAAATGGTAGCGCGCTTGCCTGGCATGCATGAGGCATTGGGTTCGATTCTCAGCACCACATAAAAATAAAATAATGATATTGTGTCCACCTAAAGCTAAAAAAATAAATATTTAAAAAAAAAAAAGAACTTCTTAAGAAAAAGTCCATGCCAGGCTCCATGGAGCACACCTGTAATACCAGGGGCTCAGGAAGCTGATGCAGTAGGATCTCACGTTCAAAGACAGCCTCAGTAATTTAGTGAGGCACTAAGCAACTTAGAGAGACCCCGTCTCAAAATAAAATACAAAAAGGGCTGGAGATGTGGCTCAGTGATTAATTTGCCCTGGTTCAGTCTCCCCATATGAACAAAGAAAGAAAGGAAAGAAGGAAAATAAAGATATGAATCTCTCATTAGAATGTGGGGTGGTGGTGGGGGACAGAAATATTTACCTGAAGAAATATAACATTTTATAACAAAGATGTTCAGCCTCAGGCTGGGGTGGGGCTCAGTAATGGAGCACTTGTCTTGCAGGCGTAGGGCACTGGGTTCCATCCTCAGCACAGCATAAATAAATAAAATAAAGGTATTGTGCCCATATACAACTAAAAACAAGTCTTAAAAAAAAGATGTTCAGCCTCATGGTAAGATGGTCAGTAGACAAACAAATCAAAAAAAGAAAGATAATTATTATTTTTTTAAACAATTAAATTGGCAACAATTAAAATAATTCATTATGTGCAGTTTTGATGAGGTTTTGGGAAAATAAGTAACTTCATGCTTTTTTTTTCCCCATACTGGTAATTGAACCCAGGGGTACTCTATCATTGACTACATACTCAGCTGAGCCCCCCCCCCCTTTTTTTTTTCTCTTTTTGGTACTGGGGAATGAACTCAGGAATATTCAATCACTGAACAACATCCCCAGCCCTATTTTGTATTTTTATTTAGAAACAGGGTCTCACTGAGTTGCTTAGCACCTCACTATTGCTGAGGCTGGCTTTGAACTTGTGATCCTTCTGCTTCAGCCTCCCAAGTTGCTGGGATTACAGGTATGCACCACCTAGCCAGGGTTCAGCCCTCTTTTATTTTTTATTTTGAGGCAGAGTCTTGCAAAGTTGTGCAGTCTGGTCTCAAGTTGTGCAGTCTGGTCTCAAACCTGATGCAAATTTGTAGTCTTTGTGTGGGGGAGGGGGGCGGGCGTTGGGGATTGAACCCAGGGCCTTGTGCATGTGAGGCAGGCACTCTACCAACTGAACTATATCCCCAGCCCAAATTTGTAGACTTTTTGAAGGGCAATTGGTCAATATGTCAGGTTTTGAAGGGCAATTGGTTAGTATGTCAAATAGAAATAAATAGCATTTCTATTTCGCAAATCTCTTCTGCAGAAATGCAGGCAGGAAAAAGAGAAGGGATGATGGATGCAAGTGGGCAGATCAGAGCACCTGGAACCCTCAAGCATGACCTGGGATCCCACAGGATGGGCTGGAACCTCATCACTTTTCACTGCTGCTATGCCCTCTTGCAGATCCAGGGCCCCTTGTCCAGACCAATGCATTCAGTGGCTCAGGAGGCTGAGACAGGAGGATCCTGAGTTCAAAGCCAGACTTAAGAAGTGAGGTGCTAAGCTAATTCAGTGAGACCCTGTCTCTAAATAAAATACAGAATAGGGCTAGGGATGTGGCTCAGTTGTCGCATGGCCCTGAATTCAATCCCTGGAACAACAACAAAAAAAAGATTTTTGCCTTTCATTGTATATAAATTTTACCTTGAAACAAAAAAAAAATATATACAATATGAACTTCAATCAATGATTTGTATGCTGATTTTTTTTTAGGAGAAAGTGTACTGATGCCTGCAATTTACCCTGGAAAGCATCAAAAGGAAAATGAATGGATGGATAATCAGAGGGATAGATAGATATGAGCTAAAGCAAGTCTAGTAAAATATTAATCAAAGCGTTTAGGTGCTGAGGATACAGGTGTCCACTGTGTATTGAACACTGCAAAATTTTTTGAACTTCTTGTAGGATTGGAAATCTTTATAATAAAATATTTGGGGAAAATAATAGATTGATTTTGTGTGTACTGACATGGAGAGATATCCAGAACATAATTTTTAAAAATGAGCCTCAGAGCAGGGCCCAGTGGTGCATGCCTGTAATCCCGGAGGCTTGGGAGGAGGAGACAGGAGGATTGAGAGTTCAAAGCCAGCCTCAGCCAATGGCAAGGCACTAAGCAACTCAGTGAGACCCTGTCTCTAAATAAAATACAAAATAGGACTGGGGATGTGGCTCAGTGAGTATCCCTGACTTCAATCCCCATTAACAACAACAACAAAAAATGGGCCTGGGGGAAAAAGATAGAGTACACTATCATGGATATCAAGGAACAAAAATCTCACCAATGTGAGTAAATTAATAGAGGATACAGATTAGACAGATAACAATGGCAACCACTGTGGAGAAGAATGGAATTAGAGGTGCTATATTTTGAATATAAATGTCTCCCAAAGGTCCATATGTTAAAGGCTTGGCTACCAAGCTACACTTAAAAATAAAAATTTAAATGGATCAGAGTTCTAAACATTAAGAAAGGTTATAAAAGTATTAAATGAAACTGGGTATGGTGTTACACTCCTGTAGTCCAAGCTACATGGAAGACTGAGGAGGAGGATCAAAGGTTGAGGCCAGCCTGGACAACTTGACCATATTTCAAAACAAAAAAATTTAAAGGGCTGGAAATATAGCTCAGTGGTAGAGTGGCCCTGGGTTCAAATCCCAGTCTCTGTCTCTCTGTCTCTTTCTTTCTTTGCCTCTGCCTCTGTCTGTATCTCTGTCTCTGTCTCTCTCTCTCTAGGTTGTAGGGGCTCCATCCTTATGAACGGATTAATGCTGGTCTTGAGGAGTATGCTAGATCTCACAGGCGTTTGCTTTCACGAGAGCACATTGTTATAAAGCGAGGCCATGCCACATGCTTGCCCCCTTCTGCAAGCATCCCTTAGCTTCTTTTTTCACATCATGTTATGACGCAGCCAGGGGTCTCTCACAGGCACCATGCTGTTGGAACCATCCAACCACCAGAATTGTGAACCTAATAAACTTCGGTGTATGTGTGTGTGTGTGTGTGAGAGAGAGAGAGATTAGGTATCTAACTGTGGGGCACTTCACCACTGAGCTACATCCCCAGCCCATTTTATTTTATTTATTTTTTAATATTTATTTTTTAGTT